GAGTCCTCACGAACAACTAATATAAGAGTCCTAATACTCCCCCTCAAACTTAAGACGGAGCAGCTGCAACATTGAGTTTGTCCCGTAGAAAAGAAAATCGAGTTGACGGAAGAGCCTTGGTGAAAACATCTGCCAGTTGATCCTTCGTAGAAATAAAGTGAACCTGAATCTCCTTCTTGGCAACCTTGTCACGGACGAAGTGATAATCAATCTCCACATGCTTCGTTCGAGCATGAAACACCGGGTTTGAACAGAGGTAGGTGGCACCCAAGTTGTCACACCACAGAGTTGGCGCAGAAGCCGGCAGAAAACCAATCTCTTTAAGTAACGAAACAAGCCATGTAACCTCAGCCGAGACATCAGCTAAGGCCTTGTATTCAGCCTCAGTAGACGAACGCGCCACCGTGCGTTGCTTCCTGCACGACCAGGAAACCAGATTGCTGCCCACATAGACTGCAAAGCCACTGGTAGACTTTCTATCGTCCGGATTGCCAGCCCAATCCGAGTCAGAAAAAGCATGAACAGCAGAAGACAGAGACCTGCGAATACGAAGACCAAGACCAAGAGTGCCCTTAACATACCGTAACACCCGCTTCATCAGACTCCAATCAGTCGTGGTAGGAGACTGCATGTGCTGACAGAGCCTATTGACTGCATAAGATAAATCAGGCCGAGTCACAGTCAAGTACTGCAGGGCACCCGTAATGCTGCGATAATGAGTAGGGTCGGCATAAGGAGTAGTGTCAGCATCATCAGACCGAACAACCGAAACTGGGGTAGAAACCGGCTTGCAATCCACCATGCCGGCCCTCTTAAGAATGTCCTGAAGATAACGCCTCTGGGAGAGTAGAATACCATCCGAGAGAGACACAGTCTCAATGCCAAGAAAAAACGACGGAGCCCCCATATCCCGAATCTTGAACTCCGCAGCCAGCTTGGCCACAATACCTGAAACCCGCTGTGGATCTAAGCCCATGACCAGAATGTCATCGACATACACCAAAAAATACAACTGCACAGCACCATCAGAATAGATAAATAACGACACATCAGTTTTAGAAGGAACAAAACCAACTGAACAAAGAAAATCGTGGAACCGAGTGAACCAAGCACGAGGGGCCTGCTTCAAACCATAAAGAGAACGTTGCAGAAAGCACACATGATCCGGTTTGGATTTGTCCTCGTAACCAGGCGGCTGACGCATGTACACCGTCTCAGCTAGAGAACCATTCAGAAACGCATTGTGAACATCCAATTGCCGAATGGACCACCCACGGGAATAAGCTAAGGAAAGCAAAAGCCGAATAGTGGTAGGCTTAACAACCGGACTGAATGTCTCAAAAAAGTCTTTCCCGGCAACCTGATTAAAACCCTTAGCCACCAGCCGGGCCTTGTGGCGTTCAACAGATCCATCCGCATTACGCTTGACCCGAAATACCCACTTACACCCCACAACATTCATACCCGGAGTGTAAGGAACAAGACGCCATGTATGGTTTTGTAGCAAAGCGTTAAACTCCACATCCATGGCCTCACGCCACTCTGGATGGCGCACAGCCTGTGAATAACATGTGGGCTCAAGATCATCAGCAGCAGTGAACAAAGCAACATGATCCTTAGGGCCCATACTCCGTGTACCCATCACATGAGACCGCGGCCCAACAACCTTGGCACCACGACCCCGACGTGGCCGACCACGACGAGCAACCTGTCCACAGTCAGATACTGTCCGCTCACTAGAATCCGAATCCTGAACCACGGGGATAGAAACCGGCTGCTCTTCCCTAGCAGGCAGAACCGGCGCAGGAACAGCAACAACGGGGGCAACACCCCACGGAACAGCCCGAGGCTTAGCAACAACCTGTGTAGAAACACCACTAACAAATGGAAAAACAGCCTCATCGAATCGCACATGGCGACAGATAAAGACTTTATTAGTGACAGTATCTAGACAACGATAGCCACGGAAAGAGTCAGGATAGCCCAAGAAAATACACGGAGACGAACGATACTGCAATTTATTACGATTATATGGACGCAGTAGAGGAAAACAAAGACAACCAAACACACGCAAAAAGGAGTAAGACGGAGGGGACCGATGCAGACGGTAATGAGGAGACTCATTGTCTAAAACCCGAGTAGGCATCTTATTAATTAAATAGACTACCGTTTCAAACGCAAAATCCCAATAACGAGAGGGAACTGAAGCCTGAGCCATTAAGGCCAACCCCGTCTCCACTATATGCCTATGGCGACGCTCAACCCGACCATTTTGTTCATGTGTATACGCACAGGACTGCCTGTGACGAATACCAAGAGACACAAACGTAGAGTGGAGCTTTTTGTACTCTCCCCCTAAATCAGATTGAATAGCAATTATTTTATGGGAGAATGAACGCTCAACAAGAGAGCGAAAACGCTCAAAAATAGCATAGATATCGGTTTTCGCACGCATAGGATAAAACCAAACAAAACGCGTAAAGTCATCTACAAACAAAACAAAATAACGAAAACCATTAACAGAGGTAATTGGCGCAGGGCCCCAAATATCAGTATAAACGAGTTCTAATACACGAGTACTAGAAGTAGCAACACGAGGTAATGGAAAACGGGAAGATTTCCCTAACTGACAAGACGAACAAACATTCGACAATTCACTAGAATTAAATTGACTAACACCAGACAACTGTAAAATTTGACGCAGAACTCGTGTATGTGGATGACCAAGCCGCTGGTGCCAAGTAGAAGACGAGACACGCGCAGCAACATTAGCAGACGGACTACGACAGGAAACAGGCCAAGTATATAAACCGCCCGACGTGCCCCCCTTAAAAAACACCTCCTTGGTCAAGAGATCCTTCACAAGAAAATACTCAGAATGAAACTCAAAAAAGACACGATTATCCCTAGCAAAACGCTGAACAGAAAGTAAAGAGGACGACAGGCCAGGGACATGCAAGACATCATTTAAACGAAAAAGCTTACGAGAAGAGGCTATCGAAGCAGTACCAACACTAAGTATAGTCATACCTGTACCATTGCCAACCCGTAGAGTGTCAGAACCATCATAGCCAGCAGCGGAAGTCAACACCAAGGAGTCAGGTGTAGCATGGTTCGTGGCACCCGTGTCAGGAAACCACTGATGAGAATCAACCGAGCCACCCACATCTCCGGAATAAGTCATGTGAACCTGGGAACCGGGTGACTCAGAATACCTGCGGTAGCAAGTCAACGCGGAATGCCCTTGCTTATCACAAATCTGACACCGCACATCGGACCGACCCCGGCCCCGGCCTCGGCCTCCTCGGCCTCGGCCACCACCTGAGCCACCGCGACCCGAGCCACCACCGCCCGAGCCACCACTGCCCGAGACGCCACTGCCCGAACCACCACGATTCTGGCCGCCATGCATGCGACCGCCACCACGGCCGCGACTCACGGCCATAGCTGCCGGCGATCCAACACCACCGCCGCCGGCTGCACAAATCCATTCCTGCGAAGTAAGGTAGTCCGACAGCTCGGACAACGTCACCGGAGAGCCACGCGTCAAGGGTGCAACGAGTGGACGAAGCTCCGGCCGCAACCCGCGAAAAACATATATATTCTGATCATCCAGCGTGATCGGGCGGCCGGCAAGCGCCAAGTCTTCTACAAGCATCCGTGCTCGACCGAGATAGTCCGAGACAGAAGACTCCCCCTGAGTGAGGGCTTGCAACTTGCCAAGAAGCCGCAGGGCTCGAGACCTTGGCGCCGATCCGAGTTCTTGCTCGATGGCCAACCACAAGGCACGGGAAGTGGTTCGACCAACAGCCATGTGCATCATCTCATCGGACAGCGACGAAATTAAAAGAGACAAGATGGCCTTGTCTTGCCGACGCCACTCCGAAGCCGAACCCGACGCTATGGCAATGCTGCTATCCGCCGTGGATTCCACCGGCGCTGCACCGGTCGGACAGGCGTGCGTACCATCCACATAACCAAGGAGACCCTGCCCCTCCAAGAACGGAAGCATCTGAGTCCTCCAAAATAAATAATTGTGAACGGTAAGCTTAAGCGAGACGAAGTGATGCGCCGAAGATAGACTCGAAACCGGGTGGGGATGAACGGGAGCAACCTCGGACACAGTCCGTTCAGTAGATTCGCGAACAGAACCGTCATTGTTGTTTCCCATGGAAGAAACCTGGAAACTGATACCAGATGAGGATTTGATTATTGAATATTATTGAATCTGAATACAACTGAGTCTGTACAAGTGATAATATAGAGAGTAGATAAAGAGTCCTAACGAACAACTAATATAAGAGTCCTAATAGCATTGACGTGATTTATTGTATCATTCATCTTCTTCTTCAATTTGTCATTTTCTCCAGACAAATTCTTGATTTTAGGCTTTATATCTTCTTCTTCTATTTTCATGCATATTCCTCTGTTTTTCTCTTTTCCAACTTAAATAATTTCCCGATCATGGTCTAAGACTCTACTAGACCTAGAAATAAAATTGGGGGATCTACAAATACAAATTTGGCATATCAAAACCATTACACTTTATTCCTAACACCTTGTAATGGTTTTGGCATGTGTGCCTTTGATAGACTTTAGACTTATTGTTGTTGACCTTGTTCTTGGATAGACAGATTATGTTGATGTGGTTTACGCCTGTGCGTTCACCGTTGTGTGAACGTGGCATAACACTCTATGTTTTCCATCTATTTCATGTTTAAGTCTTCCGCTGTGTATGCTTTTATGGTTAGAATTATCTACGTGTTTAAGGTTTAAATTGGTATGGAAATCGGGGGTGTTACAGTTGGTATCAGAGCCTAGGATGATAGAGTCTAGACTTCTAAGTGGCTAAGTGTGGTTTGAGACCTTAAAGTGACCATAAGAATCTAAGTGTTTAGGCTTAGGATTCTTAGGACGCGCGGTGAGCTGTGTGTTGTATATAGTTGTTTGCTTGCCTGTTGTTTTGTTGGTAACAATGTTATTGTTGTAAAAGCTTTGCGATGCCTCCTCGTCAACGTGCACGTACGCCGGAGACCCCGACGAACGAACAGCTTGCCCAGAATCTACATCAGCTCACACAGACTATGCAGACCCTCAGTGAGGCGTTGTTGCACAACAACCATCCTGTGCCACCTCCGCAGCCGACCGGACAGAGAGATTTAGGGCGTCTGGTGTAGGGCCATCGACCTCCGACGTTTGCGGGCGAAGAAAATTCCGTTGCCTAGAAGAATGGTTGAGGACGTTTGACAAGATCTTTTCGGTTGTTGGTTGTCCAGAGGAGCGGAGAGTAAAGCTTGCAACGTTCTACTTCAGCCACGAGGCCGACTTGTGGTGGATACATGAGGGCCCAGCTTGTCTCGAGGAACCTGGCTTTGATTGGACTGCCCTGAAGGATCGGATGCGTGAACGGTTCTACCCAGCGCATGTTAGAGCTGCAATGTATGAGGAATTCCTACATCTTCAACAAGGTTCTTCATCAGTGGTTGAGTACCACAAGAGGTTCCTAGAGCTTGCACGCTTCGGCCGGATACTCGTCCCAACAGAGCTCGCCAAAGCTGAGAAGTTCGTAGCTGGCTTGAACTACGAGGCACGAAAGGCTCTAACCGTGAGTAGGCCGAGTTCTTTGAAGGAAGCATACTTGAGTGCTGCAAATTTGTATCGTGTTCAGCAGCTTCAACGTGGATCTTATGAGTTTGCAAGAAAGAGGACCGAGAGTGGAGGCTCTTCCAACCATGGAAAATATCGGTGTTAATGACGGTCCTGCCAAAGCTGTCGCGAGGTGCCCTTGCCGACGGCAAAGCGAAGAGTCTCCTCGGATAAAGAGGAGATGAGCATGGAGAGGATGGCTTTGTCTTGTCGGCGCCACGCGAGCTGCCGTGTCAGGAGATCGGAAACCACCGCAGGGGCGCTATCCGGTGATGCCGTCGGAAAGGGTGTAGAACCATCAATAAACCCTAGAAGCCCTTGGCCTTCAAGAAACGGAAGCATCTAAGTCCGCCAGAATAGATAATTCCGGGAGGTCAACTTTAACGAAACAAAGTGATGAGCCAATGAGAGGCTACCACTCGCAGGCATCGTAGGAATCTCGGTAACAGTCCGTTCAGAGGAACCAAGAACAGAGTCGTCATTAACACCTATATTTTCCATGGAAAAACCTAGCTGATACCATATGAAAATATATTTTCTGTATTCAATGATAATGTCTGAGAGTACAGGGAGCGAATATATAGAGATGCTAGATAGAATCCTAGTCTAATACGAATAATATAGTCCTAGTCTAATATGGATAATAGAGTCCTAATAATTATTAGGGAAAATTGTAAAAAATGCCCCTCTATAACATGCCAATTATCAATGTCAACCCTAAATTATGAGTGGTGTAAATGTTGCACATCAATTATCAAAACGGTGCACATATAGCCCCTCCCGTAACGAACATGTGGTTCCCCGTTAGTGTACGACACCATTAAGTCGGATTAAATATGTAATTTAGTTGTTTTTTCCCTCCCTCGATTCGAAGTACCAGCAATGGACAGCGGTGGCGAACCACAGGTCCGTTACGGGAGGGGCTATATGTGCACTATTTTGATAATTGAGGGGCAACATTTACACCATTCATAATTCAGGGGTGACATTGATTATTGGCATATTATAGAAGGGCATTTTTTACAATTTTCCCTAATTATTACATTCGATCTTTATTAACTTTTATAATTCGATCATATTTAGTGTCATACGTTTACTAATCTTATTGCATTTGATTCTTTAATACAATTTTCACTAAATTAACATTAGTTTTTAAGAAAATTCAGTAATTTTTACAATTTTAGTTTCTTCTTACTGTTAAAAAACTTTCATAATCGATAAAATAATAATTTGATAATTTTTTTGAATGAAAAATTTAACTTTTTTTTCTATATGATATTGTTTAGGCACATTCTATTAAAGTAGGAAGAGTATATTAAAATTGGAAAATTAGTATATTGTATTAAAAGCAATGTTGTAGAAGGTACTAGGCGCTAATCGGGCACTCGAAAGACGTCTAACGCCTAGAGCACTTAGGCGGCCGATCAATCCGAGTATATCGTTTTCACTTTTCCTACTCAAGGCAGGGAGTTGTTAGACTGTTATATTCCCCAAACTAGTCAATCACATACATGTTAGATGGTTAACTGAATACATGGCTAGAGGAATATCCAAAAGGAGTAACCGAGCATGCAAAAAAAAAGAAAAGAAAAAAAAAAAAAAAAAAAAAAAAAAAAAAAAAAACCCCACTCAGTCGAGTTGACCGCTAACTCAATTGAGTTGGATACCGACTTAATCGAGTTAGGCGCCTATGGCCCTATGGTGCTTAGTCAGGTGGTTGTAGTATAATTCTCAAACAAATAATTACTCAGAGTAACGAGTTATCGATCCACAGGGAAGTGGGGCGTATCAAGCACTAGCTACTAATCTATTCTTGTAATGCTAATCCTAACGAAAGACATGGATGGTTGATTAAAATAATTAAAGGAATGAAAACAAAGTATGCAGGTTTGAGAAAACAGTAGAAAGAGGATGAGATTCCTGAGATTCAAGTATTTAATCATTTAGTGCCAATCTAATGTGCAACATTAAATCTGGGTTTAAACAAGTGTGAGAATGCAACAAGAGAAAGAGTTACTCCCGTAATCTCTAACCTAAGTGAATATTCACTCCTCTGATATAAACACTCAATAATGAAAGAACAAGCATTCATAATAAATTCCTAACTAGTACCATCTCCCAATGTGCAATAATCAAGAATTACACTCCTGCAACCAATTTGCCATCTTCCAATGTGGAACAGTTAAGTGCAATTGTGTGTGTCCTAAATTATGCCTAATTCCCGTTATGACACAAATATAGCTATGAAACAAGTAATTACGGCCGTTAACTACTAGCATCAACAATATAAATCACAATTGCAACACAAGTTTAAAACCCAAACATCAATATATTAAGAATCTGATAAATACTCATATAGGTTCATAAACACTTTTTACCCAAGAATCTCTAAAGTAAATTAGCCAAGCATGGCTAATATGCAATACATAACAATAATATAGAGTTTACAAGAGTTCAAAGTAAGTAAAAGAATAGACCGAGTGATTCACTACTGGAAATTCTGGAAATTCTGGAATTTCCGACCACCTGAAAGTGATCTTAAATCAAGTCGAAAGCCTTGTTCCGACCACTTTTGGTATCCGGAAAAACCTTTGTTGCTATTTCTGACCACTTTTTGGTATTAATTTGATTCAAAATCACTTTCAGGTGGTCGGAAATTCTATAATTTCCAGTAGTGATTCTACCAAATCTCCTTGGCTTTTCTCCTTTCTTCTCAAGACAACTTGTAGCTCTCAATTTCTCTCTTTCTTGTCTCCAAAACTCTGCTTTCTCTCCCTAGGGTTGAGGGAAGGTGTCTTTTTACAGCGGGAACCAAGCACGGGGCAAAATAGGAAAATTCCCGCGAAAAATTGGAAATTGCTGAAAACCGGCCCAACAGCCCGCTCGACGCATCGAGCTTGGGCGCCGGAAATTCTGATGCGTTCTGTCCATTCTCGACGTGCGCCAAGCCTTGCTGCTCTCGGCCAGAATGGCTACTAGAAAAATGGACGCGTCAAGCCTTGGGCTCTACGTGTCGAATTCCCTGAGTGCACGCCCTTCAATCCATTTTGGCTCCAAACTCATCCTAGAGCATTCATTGCTTTTGAACTTGACCTACAATGGTTCCAAAACACTAACAAACACCGTAAACCATTCAAAACAAGTGTAAACCATATCTAAATGATCAAACAAGAGAATATGCAATTAAAGTGACATTTTCATGAATTCAATACCAACAAATATGCTCTAACTAATACTAGAAACATGTATAATTAGGCTCACATCATCGGGCAACCGACTAAAAGCCGCCTACGGCTGTAATCGCCTCGACTTAGGGACACCAAGCACCTAGTCATAACCTAGGTGGCCTCCTAAGTCAATTTTTACAAAATTGATTAAAAGTTAATCTTAATTAAATAGAAATGGTAATAAATAACTAAATATAACAATGGACTAAATGAATTTTGATCTTTTTGTTTGTTAAAATAACTTTCGACCAATAAAATAGTGTGTGATGATGGGTGAGATTCACTTGTAAGCACACAATCCACGTAACAATTAATAGATACGTGGCTATTGAAACAGAGTTTAGATTACCAACCTCCAGCCATAGCTTTAGATCTTGATCACCAGGGACTCGTGGTCTGATGAGCAGAAGTTCCTCGGGCTGCTGTAAAATCTCCGTAGGTTTTAGTTATGTTTCTCTCACTTCTCTCAGTGACTTTAGATGGTGTATGATACGTCAACCGAGCAGTGAGAGGACTTGGGAGTCTAAATAACCTACATCCCATCAATGTAGGTAACTAATTACCTAATGCTGACTAAGTTCTAATACTTAGTCAGCCTATTGATTTGCACCACTTAAATATTATTGTTATTATATAATAAACTTAATAATAATAATAATGATAATACGTAAGGAAAACGTTACATTCTCCCACTTGGTGCAAATACGGAACCCAAGAACAAGATTTATACCAACCATAATGACATGTCCTCCTTAGCGCAAGTAATATCCATTATGATCAAATGCAAACTGTCATTGAGTCCTTTAGGTAATCAAACTTAATGAAACAAACCATATGTTTATTTCAAGTCCACTGAAGTATATTTTCTTATTGAGATAAACTGAATTGTGTACACACTCAAAGAAAATATCTGAAGTATCTGAAGAAGAAAGAAGAAAAAAAACTTAAGTGCAAAAGAATTTCATTATTAAACTGAATGTATATACAAATTACAAAGTGGACGAAAGTCCCATTTTCTGAATCAGATCCTTGAATTTAGACGGAGGCATGCCTTTAGTCAAGGGATCTGCTAGCATCAACTCAGTATTAATGTGTTCAATGAATACAACTTTATTCTTGACACGCTCCCTAATAGCTAAGAACTTGATGTCGATGTGTTTACTTCGACTCCCAGATTTTTCGTTCTTAGTTAGGAAGACTGCAGCTAAGTTGTCACAATAAACTTTCAGTGGCTTAGATATAGAATTCATAATTCTAAGCCCGGAGATGAAATTCTTGAGCCACACACCTTGCGAAGTAGCCTCAAAACAGGACACGAACTCGGCTTCCATGGTAGAAGTGGTTATTAAGGATTGTTTAACACTTCTCCATGAAATTGCCCCACCAGCCAATATGAAGACGTACCCGGAAGTCGATCTCCGAGAATCAACACAGCCAGCGAAGTCCGCATCAGAATAACCAACAACATCGAGGATGTCCGTCTGCCTAAAACCCAACTTGAAATCTTTAGTACCTTGGAGATACCTCAGAACTCTCTTCACAGCTCCCCAGTGGTCTAAGCCTGGATTATGCAAGTACCGCCCTAACATACCAACGGCAAAGGCAATGTCGGGCCTTGTACAAACTTGAATATAGCCGAGACATCCAACCGCTTCAGCATATGGAACATCCTTCATACGCTCCGTCTCCAACTCGTTCTTAGGACATTGGTCCAAACTAAACTTATCCCCTTTTGCAATGGGCGCAACACTCGGTGAACAGTTTTTCATCCGAAACCTTTCCAAAACTTTGTTAATATAGGTTTCCTGCGATAGACCCAGTATGCCCCGGGACCTATCCCTATGAATCTTTATGCCAATGACATAAGATGCTTCACCCA